TATTTGCTGAATGCTGACGGCAAACAAGAAAGTATTATAATGTTTGCCTTTCTATTACTAATAATATAAAAGCAATAGGTATAAGAATTTTTGTATACATTAATTCCTTTGTTTAACCATTCTGTCTGATTATTAGACAGACTTCTAGCTGTATTTAGACAGAACTGTTAACGACGACGGCAAACAAGAGGGAGAATGTGAGCACTGTGTGTTCAGGCGCTACCGTTCTCAGCGCTGTCAAAATAAAAGTATGGTGCACCGTCAAAATAAAAGTGCCGCCACTAACACATCAGCCAAACAGAAAAACTTATCGGCCGATGCCGATATTCACAGATTTAGACAGATTTGTGAACAATATTTGAGAGAAATAGGCCTTTTGTGTACATAGAAAAAGTCTTAGATCTTTGAGTTCAGCTCATGAAAAATGGGGGCAAAAACAAAAGTGTTGAGTTTATAATTTTGTTCAGTGTATACCGGTCGACCACTAGTAACAATATTACTTTTGAAAGGAGTAACTAGTAATGAGTAATATATTCTATACATTCTTTGAGTAACTAGCCCAACACTGGTGAGCATTATTGAGCGCTATAAACACATGTGATGTATGTTTCGTTCATACTGGAAGGTGAAGTGTGCTCTTATGCAGAAAGCCAAAATACTTTGATCATGCAGATAAAAGTAATACAGCATCCAAAACTGTGAAGGGTCTACTATTGTGTACACTAACAATATTAACAAAACATTGTGCCTTTGTAAAATAAAGAAAACAAACAGGATGCGTTTTCTGCCATCTTGGTCTTGGTGAACTGGAGCGTGTCACAAAAATTACCTGAAACTCAGGATACTTTCCTACAGACATGAGAAATATATTTTTTGAAAGCTTGAAATGCCTACTTTTTAAATGAACCAATTCAAATTGAAAACAAACCTCTCTCCTCCTGTTATCCGTACTAAGAGCGTGTTCACACTTGGCATCTTTTTTGAAAAAACAAAAAAAAGCTTGCAGCATTTTGGTTACAAATAGCAGCCGAGGCACAGGACTTTTTTGAAAACACCGTTTACTCCAGAGTATTATAATGTAAAATAGACACTGGCAGCTTCAAAAAAGACGCCAAGTGTGAACATAGCCTAAAGGTGGATTTCTTTCTAAAGGTGCATCCACTGTACTGTGTAGATGGTGAGTCGGCATCATCAACTTCATCTTTGCAGCTGACACTGACTCAGAAAATACTAGTTGATTGATTAAACTTTCACCTTGCAAATATAAACATGCAATTAGTGGACTAATAAATGAACCAATACTAGTTGATTAGAACAAGGGGTTATCAAAGTGGGGTCCGCGGACCCCTGGTGGTCCGTCACACATAGTCAGGGGGTCCGTGAAATAAATTTAGGCTTATGGTTTCATGATGCGCAAAACGCGAATGCATTTGAGGAAACCAGTCAAAATGGAATTTACTGAATATCAGGATTCTTGGCCTGAGTCCGACTAAAGCCCCCCCCCCCATTACACTACCTATTGCAGCTATTAAAGTTCAGCTTTGTTTTTAATATCAAAGTGGTTTTCTTTAAAAAGATTTTATAAAGTTAATTTTATTTAAAAAATGGAGTAGGGCTGGGCGATATGGCCAAAAAAAATTCACAATAATTTTTTTCATATCAGTCAATATCGATAATTAACACGATAAATGTTACATTTATTTATTTAAATTTTAAAGGCAGAATTTTGCTCCAATGTGAAAGTTGTAAAAACCAGATGGTTAATTGTGGTTTTAAACTATTCTTTATGGTCAGAACATGACAAACACTTTTTTATTTTTTTATTCCTTACACTTTTCCAGTCATTTTTCCTTAACAAAATAAATATCTTAATAGAAAAAAATAATTTCTTAGTTCTTAATGTTTTTTCAAAAAACTTCAATTTTTGTCTCTTAGAAATACACATTTGATAGTAGCTTGAGTTAGGATGCAGATGTAGATTTGTGTTCATTATCAGTATCATTAATATCTAAAAAAAATTGTAGCAACCTCATTTTTATATGGTGAAATATAATTATTCTGACTGTTTGAGGTTTTTTCTTTTTCTTTTTTTTATTAAACATTGGTCTTCCATAGTAGCATACATTTAGATCATGATAATCAGTTAAAACCAGAAATCTAGCACATCAATACCATGGTAAAAATGTAATATGGCTTCTAGGTACTTAAGCCTTAAAACAGTAGTCTAAATACATTTAGCATAAACGCTATAGCTTTATCACAAAAAATACTGTAATTATATTCCTTTACTCCTCCTTTAATACATGTCTACATTATAATATAATAAAATTCAACATGAACCCACATTTCTGACACAATACCATGGTGCAGTTAGTATTACTACAGTAAATCTATGGTAAATTATGGTGATTTGTAGATTAAAAAGCCTTCTGACTGTATCATTGCGCACAGTGTTTCTCCTGTTTGTCAGCGCTGTATAATCTGGCTGTGAACACCGTTATTTGTGATCTTCGCTGAATTCAAGCGCTTCTCACTGGATTTCACAGTGCTGTTTGGTGTCGCGTCAATCGCATGAGCAAGACTCATCAGCGAGTGAACGCTTCAGCGCTAGTGAGATCGCACCGCCACACTGTTTGAACTTTGATTATCATTAAACAATGTTAGATTAAACATTTAACCGAAATGTGTGCTATTAGGCACATATCCAATCATTTGTGCGGAGCGTGGAAGCTAAAGCACGCTTAATGCAGGACATGAAGGTGCCGGCGCGATCACTCATATAGATAAGAGCAATACAACATTCTACACTGTAAATGGTCTACTTTTATTTGTGTACACTCACAATATCAACAAAATGTTGTACTTTTGTAAAATAAAGAAAACAAACAAGATGCGCCGTCTCGGTCTCCTGGTCTGGAGGGCGTTACAAAAATGAAACTAAACTCAGTGTGCTATTTTCCTAACAGACATGAGGAAAGATATCTATAGAAAGCTTGAAATGTCTGCTTTAAAAAGAAACAATTAAAATCTAAACAAAAACTGTATCATTATGTAATTCATTCTAATGCCGAGTTCACACTGCACGATTTTAGCCCGATTTTTCACTCGCCGTAATTACAGTCTTGCTCCGGTCTGACGCACGCGGGTTCTCGCGTTATTTCCTAATCACTTCTCGTGTGTGTTTTGTTATGAAACGTAGTTTGCGGACCAAACAGAGCTGTCGGCGATTCTTCCTATCGTGAAGTCATGCAGTGTGAACCCCCCTGTCGCCGATCCATCGTGCAATGTGAACACATATGTCCACTGTAGCCTTTACTGCGGAGATGGCAAGTCAGTGTCAAGCTGCAAAGATGAAGCCGACACTGACTCCCCATCTCAGCAGAGAACACTAGTTTATTAATCAATAATAAAAAAAATCTCCTTACTGTTTTTTTCCCAACATATTCATAGTGATGTCTTTTGCTGGTGCTTTGTGGCAAGCTTTATGCATGTGCTTGAACTCGGAAAAGAATAGCTATCTATTAAAGGCTCATTATCGTTTATTATTTGAATAATTAGCCGACTAGAAAAATATTTAGTTGGGGCAGCCCCAGTTTTAATCCAGTCCTCCTTTCTTCTATAACTCTTCCAGCTGCGCTGAAGGCGTGCTCTCTTCTACTGCTGCTGGTGGGGACAATAAACACCGTGTGAGCGAGACATGTTTTTAAGATTACTAAAATATAATTAACCCATTAAATTGGAATCCAGGAAAATTTAAACGGAAGTTCAAATGCCATGTAAGAGTACAAATTGTAGTAAGCATATGCTTAATCACTGTTATAATTATGAAGGGGTCCTTGGAAAATTGTCTCTCCTGTAAGGGGTCCCTGGCCCCAAAACGTTTGAAAACCCCTGGACTAGAAAAATATGGCAGCCCTAATAAAAATATAGATCAAGACTCGTTATAAAAATCTGATAGCGATTCCCAAAATTGGGATTGGTTTTTGAGTTGCCTAAACATTCCCACCCCTACAAATAAAGTTTTATAGGGTCAAATTGGAAATCTTGTAATGAAATTGAAAATAAACTTTTAGGATTTTGAAACGTTTAAAGCAAATGTAATGCTTGGATAACATGGGTTATCAGATTTCAAAATTTAATATAACATCAACTTCTTACAATATATATACAAGTATACTGTATTTGGGACTATGGCCCAGTTTTTAAATAGAAAAAAGTGCACTATGCTAAAAGTTGCAAATCCTTGTGCCAAACAAACAAAAAACATTACTACTTAATGTAAAATGTGTATATTGATTTTTTGTTTTTTTGGCTGTGGCACTATTAATTTAGTAGTATGCAGGAAACATTCAATTGTACTGCATGATCAGTTTGATTCAAGCATGTGTGTTTGTACTTTCAATTGAAAACCCTTTCACATGTACATGTCGGAGAGCTCATTCTTTCTCAAATATATTTTATTGGGTTGAATATTTCTACTCGTCTGAATAGAAATTTATTCTGTTGGTACCCTTGAACATGTTTTTAATCAGGTTAATCCAAAATTGTGGAATTTTTACAAGAAATTGATTTTATATATATTCTAGTTTCTAAATTAACTCAAGGATGTTTTTTTTATGCCACGCCAGCTTTATTTTCATGGTGAAAACCAAAGAAAGAAACCGGAATTTTAAATTGTTTGATTGTACATATAGATGTGCACAGTTTTTCAAATGCTTTGGTTCTATCCGTTATTGTCACTTGTGATTTTTTTTTTATTATCTTTTTGCAGAATTCTGATGTCAAGTCTGCACTGACAGTGGATCAACTCATAGAACATATTAAGGTATAAGGCTGCTTCAGTAATTTTTTTTTGTGTGAAGCTTGATTTATTCATTCAATGTAAGGGTTGGAGGCTAGCTATAGCAAGCTAGCTTTGACAGCATGTAAGGGGAGAGGGTCACACCCACCCTTCAGAGCTCTCTCCAAAGCCACACTTCCTCTAGAACAAAACGTTAACAGCCAGAGCAGAGCCTGCAAAGCATCATGAGAGATGCTGTCATCAAAATCAAAAGTAACAGTCAGCATCTGGTGTAGCGACCATCTGATTTAATTATTAGAGTGCATCTCATCCTTATGGACTGCACTGTCTTAGGTGTCTTACATTACGCACATTGCAGTTTATCGGTCAGTTTGCTCTGGCCACATAGGCAGTCATCATGCCTCCCTTCAGCAGGCCCATGGCATGCAGATGAGCAAAGACCCTGGACTAGGGCTGCACGATAAATCAAAATGAAATCGAAATCACGATTAGACAGAAGCTGCGATTGTCATACGTATCTTTCAGTGAAGCACGTTTCTGTGATCAGTAGTAAATCTCCAGCCGTAGGCCAGAGGGGCTCTCGCGCTGAAACTCCAAATACACCCCGCAGAAGAAACCCAGGAAATCCTTAGCGGTTGCTTAATAAACAGATGATTTAAGCCAGAGGGCGCTCTCGCGCTGAAACTCCAAATACGCCCCGCAGAAGAAACCCAGGAAATCCTTAGCGGTTGCTGAATAAACAGAATGAAAAAGAATGAAAAGAAGCAGAAATGCTTTCATTGATTCAACGTAACTAATGAACACACGACTACGGCAATATATGGTTTATCTGATTTCTTATTATTATAATTTTCATTATAATAAAGTATATATATAATGCAATGCTAATTAGGGCAGTGGCAGATTTTTACCTCCGCGGTGGTAATGGACCAATTACCGTCTGTGGTGCGGTGTTGTTATATATATACTTTGTTAATTATATATATATAAATTATATATGAAACTATATATATTATGAAACACAAAAAATAAATGGTTTGATCATCTATTAACACACATGCGTGTTTCTTTTAGCACTTCCGTCAGTGAACACGCAGCCTGCAAAACACTAAAATAAATATCAAAGAAATAATAGTTAAATAAGAAAATAGCCTTAAATAATAATGTTAAATACACCCTGTCTACACCGGACGCGAGCGGCGCGGCACGAGAAAATAGGCTATATAACCCATTATAATCAGTGATGTTGTCTACACTGGATGTGGATGTGGTATAAATGAACTATAGTGTCCTACACCCACTAGTAAAAAAATATCAAAAATTATATCTGGTCTCTGAATAATTTTTGGTTTGACTGTATATCCTTCTGTTATTTTCACACTTAAATTATGCCCATTAAAATGTATTTTACAAGTTTTTGTTACTTTCACGGTAAATTGTTTTCTCTCTCTATGGTAGCCTACATCATCTTTAATTTAATAGCATTAGAGCTGCTCCATTGCAGCGGCTTAGTACTGTAATCACGCGATTTGCTGTAAAAATGCAGGGAACCACTCGCTATAAAACGATTTAGTTTTAATCCAAATGATGCGTGCTAAGTGAGCGAACGTCAGTAAAGATCTCACAACAGAAGTGCTCTCTCTCTCTCTCTCTCTCTCTCTCTCTATCTCTCTCCCCCTCTCCCTCCCTCCCTACCTCCCTTCCATGTGAAGTTTGCTCATCAGCTGGCGCAAATCAGCTATACAGGCATTAATACTGAATGTTTTATATTCATTGCATACATATACTTCGTAGACATCTTTAATCTCTAATAACTCCATTCTGCTTTCTGTTGTTCTGTGTGGTATTGGCTTTTGGTATTGGAGCATTTTAACAAGTATGAGTCAGTATCGGTATCGGTGCATCCCTATAAATATTATCAAAGACGGCTGTGAAAATAAATAAGATCTTTTATTTTTAAAAATCACAAAAATCTAACCTTTCATTGAAGAATAAGAATTTAACATGGGGGTGAAATATTATGAAATAAATGTTTTTTCTCAAATACACGTTGGACACAATTAGGCTACGTCCACACGAAGCCAGAGCTTTCCCTATCCAATCTTTTTTTTTCCCCTCGTCTCAAGAAATATCTGCGTCCACACGAAACCACAAAACCGACACAAAACGATGTAGTATACATGCCAGACCAGTATGTGGCACTGTAATTCTG